AAAAGGACCGAGTGGATACAAACGGTGGCCGATCTCAGTTGGGCACCGAGTCAGAGGAGTATGGTATGTTACCAATCCTGTGAATCGGCCCCTGATTGGCATTCCGAGAGAGCCAGAATTACCGCTAAACTGCAGTAGGCAAAATGAGTATCTCCGTAAAACAGCCCACCCGAACATAATTTTTTTTTCGGTTCCCTTTTTCTTCCCCTCCATTCGCTTTTTTTCTTCTCCTTCTTCTCTCTCCTTTTCTCACTCCTCCCCCTCTTCCTCTTCTCACACCTCTCTTTTCCTTTGTGTTTATCTCTTTCTTGTTCTATATTTGTGTTTTTTGATACCCTGTGGGCTGTCTGTTTGTGTGCAGTCAGCTCATTCAATACTAGGACCTTCTGAAACGAAGGTGCTGGTCTTGTCTTGCACAAGGCTATTTTTTTGAACAAATCATTGCAAAGATAGAGTTGCTCAGTCCGTCATGGATCAACAACGCTTTTTGCAGCAGCTTCAGATCGTCCTGAACCGTGAGTATTGCACCCTGCGTTTTGATTATATTGCGAAGAAGGCGTTGCTGACTCTTTTCTCAGCTTCCCAGGGCAACGTCAAGGAAGCGACGGGCGTTCTCCAGCGCGAGTTCTACAAGAGCCCCGAATCTCTCGTTTTCCTCATCCAGATCGCCACCGGCCATGAGGATCCGAACCTGAGGCAGTTGGCGGCCGTCGAAAGTCGGACGCTGGTTGTCAAGCACTGGGTTTCCGTTCAGGCAAGCCAGAAGCCCCAGATTCGTGAACAGCTTCTGCGTGCTGCTGTTGGCGAGAGTTCTTCTCTCGTCCGCCACTCGGTTGCTCGTGTCATCTCTGCCATTGCCAAGATCGACCTGAACGATGGCGAGTGGGCTGATCTGCCCAACTTCTTGCTCCAGGCCGCTAGCACCGGTAACAAGGAAGAGCGTGCCGTGAGCATCTACATCCTGCTCACCATCCTGGAGACTCTGGGCGATGCCTTTGAGGAGAAGTTTGATGAGCTCTTCCAGCTTTTCAGCAAGACCATCAGTGATCCCGAGAGCGAGGAGGTGCGCATGAACACCCTCATGGCCTTGAGCAAGCTCGCCATGTACCTGGACTCGGAGGAGAGCGTCGCTCCTGTGAAAGCTTTCCAGAACCTGATCCCCTCTATGGTTGCTGTTCTTAAGGATGTCATCACTCGTGAGCAGGACGATGGCATCATGCAGGGTTTCGAGGTCTTCCAGACTCTTCTGGGCTGTGACCCCGCTCTGTTGACCGTCCACCTCAAGGATCTCGTTATCTTCATGAATGAGCTGGCCGGCAACGTGGAGCAGGAGGAGGATGTCCGTACCCAGGCCATCAGCTTCCTCATGCAGTGCGTTCAGTACCGCAAGCTCAAGATCCAGGGTATGCGCATCGGTGAGCAGTTGACCCGCACGGCGCTGCAGGTCGTCACCGAGCTCGGAGATGCTTCCCCTGCCGATGATGACATTACCCCTGCTCGTTCTGCTCTTGGTCTCCTTGACATCCTCGCACAGAGCCTGCCCCCCAGCCAGGTTGTTGTGCCCCTGCTCCAAACCCTGGGACAGTACTTCAACAACGGCAACCCCGACTACCGCCGCGCTGGTATTATGGCTCTGGGCATGTGTGTCGAGGGTGCTCCCGACTTCATCAGCACTCAGATGCAGGAGATCTTCCCCATGGTTCTGCAGCTGCTTGCTGACCCCGAGCCCAAGGTCCGCCAGGCCTCTCTGCACGCCGTCGCTCGTTTGGCCGACGACTTGGCCGAGGACCTCAGCCAGGAGCACGAGAGACTTATGCCCCTCCTCTTCAAGAACTTGGCCAGCGCCATGCAGGAGTACAAGGGTGAGGAGGATGGTCCTACCGTTGACATCATGAAGGCCGGCATCAGTGCGATTGACGCTGTTGTCGATGGTCTTGATGAGAAGGACGTCGCCCCTTACCAGGGTGAATTGGTCCCGATCCTTCACAACCTGTTCAAGCACCCCGACTTCCGTATCAAGGGCTTGGCTGCTGGAGCTCTGGGATCTCTCGCCTCCTCCGCTGGTGACTCTTTCCTCCCCTTCTTCGATGACTCCATGCACCTCCTCCAGGAGTTCGCTACCGTCAAGGACAGCGAGGAAGAGCTCGACCTTCGTGCCAGCGTCACTGACGCCATGGGTGAGATGGCCGCTGCTGCCGGTCCTGAGCGCTACCAGCCTTACGTTGAGCCCCTCATGCGCGCCACTGAGGAAGCTCTTCACCTTGGTCACTCCCGCCTCAAGGAGAGCACCTACATCTTCTGGGGTGCCATGTCCAAGGTTTACGTTGAGCACTTCTCTCCCTTCCTTGATGGAGTTGTCAAGGGTCTTTTTGCTTGTATCGAGCAGGATGAGACTGATCTCGATGTCTCGCTTGGTGCCGCTGCCAAGGATCTCATCGGTCAGGAAGTGACCATTGGTGGCCGCAAGGTCCGTGTTGCCGATGCCGATGATGATGATGACGAGCCCACCGGAGAGGATGGTGATATCGAGGATGTTGATGTTGACGATGAGGACGCTTGGGATGACATCACTGCCACCACCCCTCTGTCCTTGGAGAAGGAAATCGCCGTCGAGGTGATCGGTGATCTCGTCACTCACACCAAGTCTGCCTACCTTCCCTACTTTGAGAAGACCATTGAGATGGTTCTTCCCTTGGCTGAGCACCCCTACGAGGGTGTCCGCAAGAGCACCATCAGCACCCTGCACCGCTCCTACGCCATGCTGTACTGCATTGCTGAGGAGAGCGGCCAGATGGCCAAGTGGCAGCCTGGTCTGCCCCTTCAGGTCCAGCCTGCCAAGGAGGTCCAGAAGTTTGGTGAGATTCTCATGACCGCCACTGTCAAGATGTGGACTGAGGAAGACGATCGGTATGTATTCCAAAACTTTTCTTCTTCAATGCCTTTTCATGCCCGCCCTCGGGCTATCTTAAATGATGATCACCACGTTTACCCAGCTCACTCCGACACGCAAAAGTCGTGCATGATGTGAAACACGTTTACTCACAACCTTCTGATATTCATCTACACATTCGTTCTGCTATATGATTTCATCATGGTTACAAAAGCTAACCTGAAGACAACTAGTGCTACCGTCGCCGACATCAACCGCAACATGGCTGAGAACCTGCGTTACTGCGGTCCTTCCTTGATCTCGAACGAGACCACCCTCCACAACGTGATCACCATGATCACTGACATCATCACCAAGAAACACCCTTGCCAGCTCGAGTTCGGCCCTGAAGAGGAGACCCTCGAAGCCGGTGAGGAGACTTCTGAATTCGACTGGGTTGTGGTTGACACTGGTCTTGATGTTGTCTCTGGTATGGCTGCTGCTCTTGGCGCCAGCTTTGCCGAGCTGTGGAAGGTCTTCGAGAAGACTGTCATGCGCTATGCTGGCAGCACCGAGGCTCTTGAGCGCGCTACCGCTGTCGGTGTCATTGCCGAGTGCATCAACGGCATGGGTTCCGCTGTCACCCCCTACACCGCTAGCTTCCTGAAGCTCCTTGTCCACCGCCTTGGTGATGAGGATACTCAGACCCGCTCCAACGCTGCCTACGCCGTTGGCCGTCTCGTCGAGCACTCCGAGGCCAAGGACCAGATCGTCAAGGAGTTCCCCACCATCCTGTCTCGTCTGGAGCAGTGCCTTCACATGAATGTCTCCCGTCTTCAGGACAATGCCACTGGATGCCTGAGCCGCATGATCCTCCGCCACCGCGAGAACGTTCCCATCAAGGATGTCCTTCCTGTCCTTCTCACCATCCTTCCTCTCAAGAACGACTACGAGGAGAACGATCCCTTGTACCACATGATCTGCCAGCTTTACAAGTGGGAGGACCCCACCGTCCGTGAGCTCACTCCTCAGCTCGTCCCTATCTTCCAGGCTGTTCTCAGCGATGAGGACCAGCTGGAAGAGGAGCGTCGGGCCGAGCTCGTTGAGCTTGTCAAGTGGCTGAACCAGATGCAGCCTGGTGCTGCCCCTTGGGCTGACCAGCTGTAAAGGCAATGAAAAAACAAAGGATGGATGACGACAGCTTGATGACCAAATACTACTTAATGGATAGATCGGGTCTCTCTACGAGGACTCTTATGGACGACGTTAGAAGATACCCCTGGGGAGCCAATGAGCGATGAACCCACAACTTATAGAATATGGCTGGACATGCTATGAATTATGAACAAAAGTGGTGTATATATTTTATGAGTTAAATCGAATTTCGATTCGTATGTTCAACTTGTTTTCTGTAATATCGCCTTCGTAGTGTCTGTAAATGACAAAACACTAGCTCACTTTCGGTGGCGTATTCGAGTCTATTCCCCTGATACGCTATGTGCTATGTCTTGTGCTCCACGATGCTTGTTGGGTTGTCCTTTCCATATTGTCCTGAATTCCTCAGACGAGCCAAACATGGAACTCCATTTCACGGCCCTATTGCTTTTCTTCCCATTTGAAGTCAAGTACTGACTTTTGTGTGATGTTAACGACCTTTAGAATAGTAGATCATACAACTCCTGGTCCCTCTTGTGAGAGGCTCGATATATATTAGTGGTAATGGGGAGTTGGCCACACGTATCTCACAGAGAATTCTTCGCATAGTAGAAGCACCCTGAGTTCATAACGAAGCCTAACCACTGCTTACAATAGAGAACGATGAATTTATTCCATGACTGTCCAGGTTTTCATGACGCCTTTCGCATGACCTACCCAATTCTGTCGACGTCATTTACACATATCGCCTACACTTGCAGCCATATCGTTACGTAGAAATGTTATATAGCTACTCCAGCTATGGACGATGCTAAATACTTCCCTTTTCAACCCAAATACTCTCACCATCATTTAACACTTCCTACTTGTTATACCCCTAGAAGGCAAGAAAATGTCCACTAGCTTTATATCATTCCCACCCTCACAACTATCCATCCAAGACTCGCAAAAACCCACAAGAATAAAAGATCTACCAATGGACCTTCTCGCCGAACTCGAGATACTAGCTGTCACAGCCAACAACGAAGACAACAGCATCATCCTTGAAACTGCCTCTACCAACCAGTACTACAACCACACAACCCAGCCCCCCACCGCCCTCCGCCCTAGGGACAAGAACTCAACCTTCCTCGTCAAGCTCGAAGGACCTCTTAGCAGCCCATTTCAAGTCCAAGAGCTGTCCAAGTCTGTCACAACCCCCATCCTCAAAGCAGGAGTCGGCGAAACCTCCACTGCCAACTTCTGCCTCATTTCCGGCGCCATGAAGCTCAATATTGTCTCCGCTCTCGCTGGGAGTACATTCTCCGCAACATTTGTTCGAATCAACCTCTCCCCGAAAGATCTCTCCCCACATAGCATCGCACCTTGTCTGGGTAGTGATATCGAACCTACTCTTCCGCAGAACCGGGCTACTAATGCGGATGAGGTGTTTCTTCCGAAGCAGAGCCAGTACCCCGTGTGGTATTTCTTCTATGGGGACTTGACTGTGCCGGAAATTCTATATGAAAGATTGGGGTTGGATGAAAGGCCTGTGTATCGAAAAGCAGCGCTTAAGAATGGGACTCTGAAGACCTGGGGAGGGGGCAAGTATAAGGCTTTGATTGATGGAAATGCGTCGGCGAGGGTGGAAGGGTGGGCGTATGAAGTGGGATCTGAGGAGGATGAGGAGATGCTGAGGTATTATGGGACGGATTGCTATGAGGTGGTGAGGTGTGATATTTCTATGGTGGATGATGAGGAAGTGGTCAGGGGGTTGGTGTTTAGGTTAATGGGGGATGTTGATTAGGATTTCCTTGGGTTTTTGGTTACTTGTATATTCTTTCTCTCAAAGTAAATACTATCACCACTACTCCTCTACTTCTACTCATATGATTCAAATTCTTGTTACTTGAAATCTTGGGATATGATTTCTCCACGTGCTTATGACGGATTTGACCCTGTCTACTTGCCCGTCTAGGTATACGGTGTTGGAAGGTTCGATATGACCAAGCAGGGAAGGTCTGCATTATCCGAGTCGAGTCGAATCCCTTCTTGTTAACAAGAATTATAACTGGCGCCTATTTGTCTAGCCCGTCCTACATATCAAGCTGAGGTCGCGACGTCACTATTAGAGGCTCATTATTTGACCTAGCGGGTACAATGTACACTCATAATCACATCATTATGACTGTCGACTGCCTAGAGAATACTTTCCTTTAGCGCACAATCGTTCGCCTCCCTCCGACTTCTCATTTCGCAGTTATCTTTTATCAGCTTTGTGGGAAGATTCGGAGCGAAGTACTTCGTCATATTCTCCACCCTCTCTGCTGTCCGCGGCACTGTCTACAGTCTTTCTCCGTCCCTTGATTCTCTTCTTCGGATATTGAAACTTCAGATTGACTTGTCACCCTGGAAGGACATCTTACCTTTGACCAAGTCGAGACGGCTAAAATGGCCTCTGCAGACAACCCCAGTCAACGTAAAGCAGCTATTCCAAGCCCTGCGCGCGAGCTTTTTGAACCAAAGCGGCATGGCCTGATCGCACAGCTAGTATGTGCTGCAAAGCTTACCAAGCTTGATTCAATCACCTGGGCTTGTTTGTGGTTTGCGGATCTCTCGGAATTAGAAAGTCTCGTGTCATTCTGTGGACGGAATTCACCGTACGGTTATATGATGCACCGCGATCTCTCGAAGAGTGAGGATAAATCACAAGTAATTGATGCCTGTCAGTGGGTTGTGATATAATGAAAACAGACTCAGGCTAATACACTATCAGGGGCGGTTTCACGGCCCAAAGAAGAATTGGAAAAGGCCTATGAAGACGAAGAATCAGATACCGAGGGGCCTCCGATCAAGAAGCGTCGGTTGACTCTGAACACAGAAGAGAGTCCCAGTTCTGCAGAAGAAGCAGCCACTCATTTAGCCAATAGACTAGTAAGTCAACTTCACATTCGATACGACCAGGTCAGTTCTCCGCTAACTTCAGCAAGTGCACTGAGCGAGATAATGCCACTTGCGTGGTCACCGGTTGCCGTGATCCGGTCGAAATCGCACATATACTCCCCAACGGTCTTGGAAGAATGGAAACTCAAACACTCCAGGAATTCTGGTTTCCTCTGCACCGTTTCTGGAGCAAAGAGAGGGTCATGGCATGGATGAAACAGGCTGCAGGCCAAGAAGCCACAGAGGCCTGCTCGAACTTTCTGTGCATGACGGATATGGCCCATAAACTATGGAAAAAAGCACGCTTTGCCTTGAAACCGCTGTCCTTGAGTGAGGATCGGAGGTCGCTTCAGGTGCAATTCTACTGGCTCCCGGTTTATAACTACCGTTCGAGGATTCCAGCAACCGAAGTCCCCCGTCGTATGTCTCGCAAGCTCTCCGGAACAACCGTTGATGGAAAAGAAACCATGCTGTTTAATATTGCCACAAATAAGAAACTATGCTCCGGAGATATTCTTACCTTCAAAACAAACGACCCTAACAGTCACCCCCTTCCATCCATGGAGTTGCTAGACATGCAGTGGGTCCTAAATCGAGTTCTTGCCCTCAGTGGTGCCACTTACGCCACAGACGAAGAGCTTTATCCCGATTTCTCGTCGAATGAGGGCTCGTTTTGGGATAGCGAGGAAGGTTTCTGATGCGCACAAGTGGAAGACTCAGGGGAAACTCTGCTGGAGAGAATAGGAAGCCATTTCAGATAACCCAACACATCATTGTTGCTGACCACTTGAAGCAGACGCAGAAAATGTTTGCCTCAACAGCATATCAGAAGCACCAATATTCCTAGCTTCAATAGTAGTTTGCACATATTGACTGCCCTGCGAATTCTAGCCAGGTGGATGTCTGCCCCGTCTACATTCCCTCATAGGTAGATTTCACCATTCAGACGACATACTGGAGAGTGTATAGGGTGATCTTCACTCTTTGGAAGAGGCTCTGATGACAATATCTTCCGGCAAATACCGCATCGGCCACGTAAGCCAGGAGGTATCCGTCACGTAAACGGACTTTGCCGTCCAGATTATGAGAGACGTAGCCGCAAAAACCCTATCAAGTCCTTCAAGTCTGCTACAGCTAAGGTAGCTATTTATTCAAGCAAATGCTTGACAAATAAATCTTCTCCTTTGTATCCGCCACATTGAATAAGAGAGATGATAATAAGATTGGCACAACCTGCTGCTAATTTCCCCCGGATGTCAGCAGTCAGCATTTGCTACAATGAACATTCCAAACCTTCACTGCAGATTTCACTAATCACCTTCCATCACTCTACCATGGTTGAATATTGCCCCCTTCAATCTGTGCCACTTTCCTGAGCATGCATGGTATACCTTCACAGGGATCCCAAAGTTGAATACCTGATTCACCGTCCTATTACCAGCTGTTCTTATAAATTGCCCCAACTTTCCCTCTCAGAGCAACCACTTTCTTTTCTACAACCTGCCAGACAGCCACAGGCCTGCCTTCTTACTATTTCTTCTATACAACTATCATCAGATTTATTATATTTCTTTGGAATTCCACATATACCATGGGAAAATTAATTTACCCAGAAAGAACTGAAAATACTATATGAAGATGAAAACTACAGCCAATATATACAGAGGAAAAATAAACCGTCCTTTCTTCCAATAAAATCAACCCGGAGGCACTCGATACCACACTAGGTAGAGGAAGAAGGGAAAAAGAAGAATATTTGCTCATCTTGAATCTAGCCAGGTACATAGCCGTCTCTGTTACCCTCTATCGCGCGTGCCAAATTGACTAGATCAAGCAGATGTTCACTGGCACAGCGCAGGCCTTAATCAATGCGATGCTGGAGATCAGCGGTGGCCCCCATACGAACGTCAAGTTCAAGACTGTGTCCTCGCTTCCGATGATCCCGACGTCCCAGTTGCTGTCGGACAGCCAATCCCGGTCCATTAAATCTTATACAGCCGCTTCGAGATCGTTACCCGTGAAGATTGTGGCCATGACCCAAATCCAGAGGATGCAGTCTATGGAAAGGGATGTGTGCTCCTACAAGAGCAACCACAACCATCTAACGACTTCAGTTGGCCATCTTTAAGTGCAAGACAAGGTTCATAATCACAGACAGACCGCTATCTACTGTCCTGACGAGTACACAGATGCTGGGATAACCACTTAGCTCTTGCACTTTACCGAACACCCAAATACATCAAACAATTATGAAAAAAGATATCATAACGCCTGCAGCTTGCCCGTCCCTTTATGGTGGAGGATACAACAATCGAACTAAGCTTGTGAGTGACCCGATTAGCCAGATTATTTAAAATCATGCTAATATGTATTAGGGGCTGTGCGGGCTAGAAGCCCTACACTACCTGACAAAGACTCGACTGGGTCGTGTAATAGGACATGATGAACCAGCACCCTCATCGATATAAGGCTAAAAACTTTTCTCTGATACTGGTGGCCCGGTGAAGGTTCCACCTAGTTCTAAGCGCCTTGGAAAGACCATGTGGTGTGTTTTACCACACTTTTTAGCTACAAAAAACGCCTTTCTCAGTATAAGCACTTCATCGCAGGATTTGGCGTCGCACTTTGCCCTGTCTCAATTTCAAAGGGCCTGTGTCTGAGCCAAATATGGAGCTTACACAGAGAAAGGCCTACGAAACAATGCTGCCATCTTCCGAAACAGTACTCTGTTGCTGTATAGCACTATATACAGTATAGCGAAACAAATGGTTTCTCGGTCATTCCTTCCATGGACAGGTGACGGCTAGACAGCTTCGAAAATCAGCGATGCAGTTACCGATGCATTCAAGACCGCGGTTACGGCTTTGATTAAATCCTCAAGGGGTATATCAGTCAATGAGATTAGCCGGGTACAATGGTTCTGCCAAAATTGAACCCGAAGCTGAAGGCTTACAGCTTCAGCATTAGGATTTGTTGGTTCTGAACTCATCAGACAGTACACCTGAGAATACTGTGCTCCCTGGGATTAGAGGGAAAAGTAAATACTAGTTATACTAGTAATTACCAACATGTTCCAAGCATACCTCTTCTATCTCTAGAAGCTTGGGGGGGGTTGTTTGAGATACCCATAAGGGCCAGTGGACTGTACGACTTGAAAGATACGGACTTACTGTCAATACTCATGCATATGATGCAAAAAGCGGCGAAGATGTCAATAATGAGTCGGAGAAGGTATGTATAGGTGTCTGTGTGGACAAGGATTTTGAATTAGGAAATCTACGGTTGCAGAGCAAATTCTCTTAGGAATCTGCTCGAAAAATACCGTCAGCTTTGATTATTCGGAAGGCACTGCAACGCGGTTCGCGCGACACTAAGCATCCTTCACCTTCAACAGCCCACCGTGGGTCTCAACCGCATCCTGGTGAAGATGATCGATTCGTTGCATGGTGGCGAGGCTGCGGTTGTAATTTTTGACACAACCGCCACTGACGGACCCGGCTTTCGCAAGCAGCGTGGTCTTCTGAACGTGGCGCTCAGCCGGGCACGAGCGGCATTATATGTCATTATGAATATGAAGAAGTAGAACAAAGCGAAGCAAGAGCAGTGCGGTGTCTATATACAGCTCATGGTGGATTTCTCTTTTAACAGAAAACATCGCGTTTGCATCCCCCCAGCCATGATGGAAGTAAACCGTCTTGCTGCTGATAAGACAGCTGCAGCGTGCCAAAAAGTTGCTATGCCAGATGGATTTAAGACCTGTGATACAGACACTTACCCCTTTGATGATCCTTCTTCTGGTATAGATGAGGCTACTGGACTGCTGACCCTGGACACAGCAGGGAATAATGAGATCACTGCAAGCTATGAAGGGTTTGTAAATTCATCCCCGGCTGACTTGAATGTTGGGCAATCAGATACCTCTGCTGTTAGTCCATCCCAGGCTCCCCGTGCCGCTAATAATTTCCCCGGAGATTCCCAGGTGATGGAATGGTTTTCCCCAGTGTCGAGCGACCATAACTAAGAGCCGGAGCGGGCATCCAGCTGGTAGAGGCCCGTTGCGGGGATTTGGAGCCATGGAGAGGGCCCATACATTTATAATGTCTGTCTATCGAGTCTCTTGTCTAGTCCTTCTGAATCAGGACTGCTCCTATTGCTGGCTGGGATCTTTGTCTTTGATATGAAAGCTCCTGGGTTCTTCATGGTCGTGCCATCCTTGGGGTTCGCTAGTTTGCTTCTAGCTTTTGGTTTTATTTCACTTTGATGTTCATCTGAAGACATGCATTTGACAAGGAGAGAACAAGGCTCGCTGATACTTAATAGAACGGGTAATCTTGGAGTCATCTGGGATATGACTACATAATCCTATCTTTCAAAACTTTCAAGACCATATATTGTCGGAAAATGCAATTTCGTTCATCCGGAAACATATTGAATTCTGCCAGATTCAGTCAAGATGATGGCACTCTTCTCGAATCCATTGGTCATGCCGCAAACCCTGGGGACGATAGTCTATTTCTTGCCATCACTAAGATATTCCTGTTCAAATGCAGCCTAAACACCCCAGACAGTCAAATCGGTCATCCTGCGAGAGTTCAGGTCCCGAGTGAGAGACACAATGCCAGCCCTTTGAAAGTGGCGTATCGATGGAAGAAAATTTATAGACATCTGCCAGCAGGAGCGAGTCCACAACGAAGACCATAGAGATGATATGATACTGATACATTCAGTTCAGCACTATAACGAGGGCTCCAATGGCAGCTGAACAACTTTGATGTCAAAGCCCTCCCGGTTCAAGCCCTCTCAGCAAGTTAGCGATGCTGCAGTTGGCAGGAAAGATCTCTAAGGGTTGAGGGGAAGACAAGCTTGACAAGATATGTCAGACATTAAGGTGGAGAGGCGAATCTTCCGTTCACTTGAATGCTTCATACATCGCCTACGCAGGGCAGTTGAAGCCCTCGATCCCTTGAACCCTTCCGTGCGTGTGACCTTGCTCTCGGATTATGCGTCCTGCTTGGCTCCAGCTATGCTCCGGCCTTTCAAGCTCGCAAAAATAATCCTGCAATGAATAGTGAGATTAGGGTTCCAGCCATGCAACAGCAAGAAGTGATTATACATAACTCATCTCGCCAAGACCTCCCAGGCACCAGATGGTCGCTCATACCATTCCAATGGAGATGTGTCACATGACTGCATGTTCCTTACTATTCTGTATGGTTAGGCCATCTAGTATAGCTTCGAGGACCCCCCATCCTCCGTTACAAGAACAATCAACATACTCATCAAACAAACGCTTCGTGTAGCTGCTACAAGCTGACCAAAAAGTACGGGATTTTCAAAGGCGGCTTGGAGAGCGCCCGGACGATTTTGATAACCTTCTACCCCCAAGCGGTGAAAGCATGGTGTGCCGACAAGAAAAAGGCCTATGACCCTGCCACTCCTCACATGCCCGCAGACTTTCCCGGCAATCTGAATGGGCTTTTTCAAATTGCTTTATTTGACGAGGTCCATATACTTCGCAACCCTGGATCTGGGATCTCATTAGCGTGCACCTGGCTATATGCCGGGTTCCGGGTACTGTTGACAGCCACGCCGTTTTACAATGATGTGCGCGATTTGCTCGGGTACATACAAGTTCTCCTGCGCTCTAATAGTGCTTCCAAGGCAACAATAACCAGCAGCTGTGTCCGGCAGATTGTGGAGGCCGCTCCCGGTTGCTTTGCAGCCGCGAGTTCGTGACCAAGTACATTTTCTCTGAAGAAGTACAGGACACAAACACGATCGCCTGTCGTCTGAGGAAGATACTCCAGCGCCTCATGATCCGGCGAACCCAGGGCTCTCGACTAACAAAATCATTAGGCCGTCGTTCCTAATCGATCATCGCTTGCACTACCGTGGCGGTTGGCCAAGCAATTCCCATCCATCACATCTTGATAACGTGTGTCAGAGAATACTGCACAAGGAGTGCTACTCTGATCCTGACTGGCTAGCCTCCTGGTATGGACAGATCTTTTGTAATCTGTCCTTGCCTTTCATTTACTGACCCGGCAATGCTCAGTGACAATGGGCATAGTAACCAGCGAAGCGAGAGACATCGTTATAGACCCTCCATACAAAGATTATCAACGGGAATTAGCGCACGGCTCCTCAAGATGCAGATGAGTTGAGAGACTGGTTCTAGGATTTGTGAAACCCCAGTCGACAACGGAGTAAAATTTGAAGAGCCATACCAGTCTAATGGTAAATAAAAGTGAGATTGCATTCCATTTAGCTTTGGTTAACTATATACCGACCAATATCTAGCGTTCCAATTTTCCATGACGATGCCTTCCACTGTCTGTGCCCACCATGGTGATCTGGCGTGCGCCAACTCAGCATTCAAACGTCTGGTAGACACAGCAACCGTCAGACGCTTGAGTGTCTCGTATATCGATTGCATGAGATGATTAAAAAGCAGATTCCTGCAGCGTATTATAATGGTCAAGTCGGGCGTTGCATCAACAAAGCTATCATGGCATTGGGGGCACGGCGCAGGACGTTGGGACTATTGCAACGTATGCTTTGGTCCGAGGCGTAGGATGCTCGATCTAGTACAATTAGAAGAGATCAAAAACGCGCAGGAACGTTTGTGTAGTTTTTATATAAGGTGAAGATGATGCTCTACTTGAGCTAGACATATATAGAGGGCATATAAAGATAAATGAACTGCTTACTGGGACATAGCTCTCACATTACGGTGCAACCTGTAGTTTGACTTGTAAGAGACACTCTGTCCATCGATGAGAAAGGCTGCTTGCGTGCGTATCAACGTGCCAAGTCGCGACTGATTTCACTGAGAGCTTTATTCCTGTGGAGGATCTGTATGTCCACCATGAAACAGATATCTTGACTTCCTGGTCGAATGATACGGATTTATCAACCAGGAAAGGCCTAACCAGAAGGCAATAAGAACATTAGCAGGACCGAAAGTGTGGCCAACTCAACGTCCACGTTGTCTCAGTCAATCACAGAGCCGTATCGGGTCCTTTGACCAGCGCCTGAGCTGCTACATCCAAAAGGCGTTATCAAAAGCCGTCGAAGACAGCACCTTAGGTCAGCTGTGGTAATCCTAGTTCGGGGTCAGGCCAGTGTGGGTATCAGAGTTTGGACGGACGAAAATCCGGTGTCAGCGCTTAAGTAGCGCAGAAGCTCGACCTAAATTCTTGTTGTATACCCGCAGGCCCGGCTGTAGAAACTCTAAGCCAAGTTGCTGGCTGATCTGCGCCTGGTTTGCGCAAGTGGCTGGTTTCTGCATTGCATGGTTTTGAGGGGGTCTATTATTTCAAGCGCTTGAAACGAGGAAATTATGCCAGGGTAGCTAGCAATGCGATATATTCGATATTTAAAGCCTGCTGACACGTCGCATCTGAACGTAAAGCTCATGGAGTTCACTGCCAAAAGTCCTATCCGAAGCTCTTCAATCATATTGCCCAATTATGCAGTCGTCTACAGTTGACCTTCTGTCTTCAGACCTATTCAAGCATCATTATGAGGATGGCCCTCGGGATGCTCATCTGGAACGCTCGTATCTCCGGGCCAAGGCCTTTGCTCGGTTCTGGCGTATGTCTCTAGTTGCATTTCACTTAGTCATGCAATCTGACAATCAATCTCTCAGGATTGACCCCGGACGATGTTCTTCAATTTACACCAAAGTTTCGACACGCGCACACTGACGGCATTATACTTCGGGATATAGCCGCCCAGTCTGCATTCAGTGTTCACTACAATCTAGTGGGAGGAACCATTGCCTCGCTAGCCCCGAAGCGCCCGGACCTTCAGCCGTTATTGAAACAAATTTTCGACTTTGATGTTGTGTATGCGACCTTTCAGTAGGCTGCATAGATAGACATTGCTGATATGGTATTGAGCAGTGCTACTTATATGATGACGGAGGCTGGGCACGGCTGCGATGCACGAAACCTCGAAACAGTTGCCATATGGCAGTCCGATGGTGGCTTTATTCTTGACACCCCAACACCTGCCGCAAGAAAGTATGGTATCATGTTCCTTCCATGTTTGAGCCGAAGAATGCTAAAATGAAAAGGCTCATGCCGCCCTCTGCACCTTTTGCAGGGATATCACGTATAGCGCTTGTGCTTGCGCGCCTGATAGTCGAAGGAGAGGACCGAGGCACCCGACAGTTCATCGTTCCGCTCAACGATGGGCGACAGATGTATCGGGGAATTAAAGCATGGTCGGTACTAGTTGTGTGCACCAAAAATGCTTAATCTAACAATATTAGGGGTCTTCCAGCTCCCGGAGCCGGAAGGCTACTAGATTTCGTCCTTACATCCTTCGATCATGTCCATCTCCCGTCAACCGCCATATTAGGAGACCTTGCAAGACCTTCCAACATGCGTGATCAGTACCTCACTGCCGTCGATCGGCTGAGCACAGGTACACTAACTGTCAGTCTATGGACCATTCCCTTTTTGAAGGGTGCCGCTTTCACCGTGGGCAAATACAGCCAGCGTCGCACAGTTCAGGAAGGACTTCATGGGAAAAGAGTCCCAATCATCTCTTATAGAACTCAGCAGCTACCTATTGCACATGCTTTAGCTGAGGTTGCTGTACTAACCCCATTTGCGGATTGGGTCATCGAGCAACGTAGAAGTCCTTCCATCAGCCCTAGACTCAAGCATGCACTTAGTATTATCCTGAAGGTCGTTTTCGTTCAACATGGAAGTGAAAGTCTCAAGCAGCTAAATGAAAGAAGTGGTTCCAGGGGAATGTTCCCTACCAACGGCCTCGTGGAGATGGAGGTATAGCCAGTCCTATTTTATGTCTCGAACCTTGGCAGACGGCTGACACGGTCTTTTTAGACTTATGTTCGAGCTAGCGCTTCAGCAGAAGGAGAAATCTTAGTCCATTCCATTCGTGAGTGATATTCCAGCTTTCAAATATGATAGCTATGCTGAATGCCTTATAGGCTCTGCTACTGAGTTGCTTCTTGGCCGGTTCAGGGTACCCGATGTCAAGACGCCAAACTCCCTTTTGGGACGACACGAGGCAGGGTTCATTGCGGAGATGAAAGAGTCCTTGAAGAGGGCCAAAGATCATAGGACTCCCGAATATAACATTCTAGTACTACCCCGTTGTCGCCCCATGCTTCTGGCTATAGGCCAACGGATGGCGCATGAGGCAGCCGTTGATGCGGGTGTTGATCCCGAATTTCTGGCGCTTTACGAAGCCGGAGCGGTGAGGAACGACTCAAGTTGGTATGTGGAGCAGCTGAGGCTCAGTAGGGCAACTCAATATGATATGGAGTGCCAAGCGTGCGATAGTGTGATGTCGCAGCTAGATAGGCATCTGGACGAATTGGGTATCGAGCCGTACTGCACCGCCCCGATGTTGTCGCCGGCTAGATGGGAGACTTTCATCAATACCTGCCCCATATATACGGGAGATGCAGTTCCTAGCCTGGATTATGAAGGTAGTCGAGAGTACAGACTTTAAGAGTATATAGTATCCCGCAATTTGACTGATTACAGCGTGTGAAGCTGAGAGAGCAGTGGACGGAAGTAAACGGATGAAGGAGTCAAAGTGGAAGAGGAGAAGAAATGGGCGGTGGATCTTTGCTGCCTGAGCTGATCGGCTCGGCTAACCCCAGAAGGGTCTAGTGGGTCCTGAGCTGGTCAGTGACGTTGATGGCGTCTCTCTCTTCTGCCTCGACTTTTGGCTCATCTCTGGTTCTTGGTCTGGCTCCGTTCCTGATCCTTTCTTCTTCTCAAGTGAAATACAAGAATCGATTCTCATTCTAATATTCTACATTTACAAATCCTCAAATCCCAAAAGCACTTCACGATGGCTGCCTCGTCCGTTTCCTCCGCTGTCAACTTCACCCTTCCTTCCTCCAGTTCTGGCTCTTCCATTAAGCGACCTATCAAGACAGTCTCTAAGCCTTGTTTTGGTTGCGACTGTGGAGATGAAGAATGCGATTGCTGCGTTTGCACTGTGATGTGGTATGTCAATCAAAGGTCCAGATACTTGAACAAGAATCGTTACTAAGTCCCATTTTTGCAGAATCAACGCTCGCTATTTTTCTGGCCATGTCTATAGCGTCCAAATGACCTGTGGGCTATTTGCCCAATTTGATGATACATACGACTTTCATTGAGCGCACTCGGGAGTTTGTCATGGGCTGTCGGAGGCAGGGCGTACATCCATCACTGATGCCACCCCTTGCCATCCACATTGATACGTTTTGATTTGGCTATAGCGAAAGTCTTAGCACAGATTAATTGATCTGCTTTCAAACCCCAGCTTCTAAGCCGGGCCATTTCAATTTTGCTCTCAATCCCCTGACTAGTGGTTGTAAGGTTTACGGCGAGCCTCATGGTCAAGGCTCTGAATACTTTGATGCATATCTTACAGTTTTCTGAATACAGGCTGCAATATGAACAATAATTTCCATATCACCTGCCGTATGATTCCTTGAGATGTTGGCACCAACTAAACAACAGCAGGGGACCCTAGACTAGCGCCGTCCGGAAGGTCTAAGGCTAAGCAACGATGGGTTTAGCATACCTGTCCAGCCACAATAGGCTGCATACGCGAGTCAGTATTAGACATCTTGTGAGGGGAAACAGTTTGACCCCAAGTTCTAACAACCGTAAACATCCTTGGGGCAGCATCCGTCTCGCTTGCTTGCGCTCCACGTATCCGGATCTACATCTTCCACACGAGGATGCCACCTTCAAGCATCGGATTTTCAGCATAATCACATAGCAGATTGGCCATAGAGTACTCAAGCTTCTCAAGCATACATATGATCGGTTTCAAGCGGGAAATATCTCCGCCCCATTGTCCCGAGATAAGCCACATTCCCAAGCGCCGACGGGTCTAAATTTGGGTGATCCGAACGAACTAAGCAATGCGCTAACACTACCGCCGTCTCAACTACTGCACGAGATAGCCACGCAATGCACTTTTTGGGTAAAGCACGTTACACTGGTGCAAGGCTATAGGAGGGGAGGTGGCTATTCTGACTGGTTTGGGTGAGGGGGAAAATATGGACAGAGCACAGCCGCATAATAACAGTTTCTTGATTTGCATAATTACACTCAGCGGCCTACCTCTGAATCTGCCTTGCTTATCCCTGCCATGGCTGGTCTATATGAATCCCCCACAGTCCCTCTTTGTCGATCTGCCCATGCGCAAAAGTTCAACGCTATTTTTCGACACAAAGACAACTATGACATCTCCCTTCTCCACTCCATTCTCTCGAAAGATTTCACTATGTTCACACCTGACATCAGACGACAATGACGAGGTTTCCGACTCCCCTTCACCTAACGATGTGGCTACTATTGCGAGTGACCCTGCTCGACCTACAAGTCCTGGGGATCGAAGCCCTTCGGTTCAGTTAGCAGCGAGGCGGGAATTCAGACGAAGAGTGGCCACTGTAACCCCAGCTGAACATATAGCACGCTCAGAAAACTCTACATCACCGAAGAATATGACAGTACAGCAATACATGTTAGATTCCGACCCAGCTGACCATGAATCAAACGCTCTGCGGCGACTAATGGCCGGCTCTCCTTGTTCTCCATCACGATCACGTGAGCCACCAAGAATCAGCAGTAGCATTGTGAGTGCTGCCGTATCACCAGGAAAGAACGATGTATTTCAGGATGCTGTAGAGGAGCAGATTCAGGGTCCTGCAGAGGGTGACAAACCAAAGGTTCCGACAGAGGCTATTCTTTCTAGCATGCACAACATCATTCGGGGTCATTACAACGAAAACAACAAGGGATATGCTTACGTTTACCGGGACAGTAAGGATGAATGTCAGCGCTTCAAGATTGGATCGACGGATCGGCCAGAAGACCGCAAAAAAGAGCTCGACAAGCAATGCAAACTCAAGGGCTGGGAATTGGTACAGGATCCTAAAATGCCTATTTGGGAGTATAAACGACTCGAAAGGCTCGCCCACAGTGAGCTGACGAACTTCAGATGTGATACTATATGCCCCGGTGATGGTATGAAACATCGGGAGTACTTTTATGGCTCAAACTCTACTGCCTCTGAGGTCTTAGGACGCTGGTCGCGGTGGCTAGTAGATCACGAGCCATATGACAAGAAGAGCGAGCTGAAGCCTTTCTGGTCCGATCGCCTTGAATGTTTCATGGCTAACAAAATGGCCTCGTTCTATTTTAACTGCAGGAAGGGTACATGCTCACGGAGAGATTCCACTCCCGTTGCTTGCCAGGAATGTCTTCAGATAGGATGGAAAGTGTGGACAGAACCAACGACGTTAGACAAGGCTAGGTACTACTGTCCTTATTATGCCAAGGCCGTATGGGAGCGCACACCCACACTGTCAACCTGTTTTCTCCTTATCTTGTGGGGCAGATTGATTGCGCCGATGATCCTTGCTCTTTTGCATAGTTCCGAACGTCGTGGAGGGTTAATCGTGACTGACATTATTATATGCATATGCGCCCTCTTCTGTCACCTTTCCCAAAACAAGGCACCACAGGGCGAATTTAAGACGAAGCACACCGGTAAGAGAGCTACGTCAGCTGCGGGACAATCCGATATATCTCCAGGGGTGTACTCAACCAGACATGGCCAAGAAGATACTCCTGCAAAAAAGAGAAGGCGATCATAGCAATTTCGAACGATTCGGGAACCCCGGTCTGTCGCTGCACCAAAGAAAACAAAGCCATATTGGCGCATATGGAGTGTTTTCGGTCAGCACATCCTGTCATGCCATGGAAAACTAGCAGCAGCTCGAGATCGCTCCGGTCAATAACAGGGCAAGTCGGAAAACAAGGTCCGTTCCTCTTCGTAATGTAATAGGCACGATGTTGTATATGGTGATCTACGCGACACACCACTATCATCGGCGTGGATATGCTCCATCCATCGTTGCAGCGACTGTTCTAAACGAAACTAGGTTGTCAGACGAACACTGGGCGACAATCATTGCGGGCTGGTGTGTAGTCCCGAGGTTATGCTGGGATACCCACCCGCGATGATGTCAATAGGGATTCCCGGCCCACCCGGAGGCTTGCAAGGCACAGCTAAGGAGGCTCGACCTCGCACTGTATCTGCAGATCGGAATTTGTGATATCAGATCTCGCCCAGGAGCCAGGAACAGCGGCTCCCAAAAGAAACTTCCTATTGTTGTGGAGAAACCCAAGACCCTGGGTGTTGACGTAGGCGGTCCGTCACCTGACAGCCAACCCAATTGCAGTTGTCTCAACTTGGGTTCCACCGGAATGTTCGTCACGATCCTCGTCTTCTTATTCCTCTCGATTTATGAGGCGGTGGTAGCTTGTATTTCGTCGTGGTGGGCACTCAGAATTGCGTTGTGCCGAGCAATACCATATCTCTTTCCACGTCAACCACACCCAACTGGCCGAGCAACTCATTTATCTTGGTTGTACTAGAAATGCAGCGACTGCGCCATAATAACAAACTAGCATACTTCACGATTAGCAGTCAATGAGCGACGAGCATCCAAATGGCTTCGGACAGCCATTCTTCATTGTGACATGGGTCGAGTTTGGTTTGGCGATCATCTTCATGATCGCTCGATGCGTTGCTGCGTCCAAAATAATTCATAATGTGGCGAAAGACCTGTATTTGGCGATAGCTACATTTGTGAGTACTCTCCCTGCTCAGCTTACCATATCGCTGCTAATATCAATGCGACAGATTCTGGGAGCTGCAAGCATGGCGATGATCACTGTCGGGGCTACATACGGGCTTGGCCTTCCGCAGGACATGCTAAGTTTCAACGAGAGCAAGATGGCACTGCTCTATGGCTGGGTTAACCAGTTGATTGCCCTTGTTGCGATTGGGTTGGGGAAGCTTACCATTGTCGCCTTTCTCGAACAAGTCCAAGGTTATCAAACCAAAGCCAGGAGCATATTTCTCTGGTCTTTGGCGGGCAGCAACCTCGTCCTGAACTGTGTCGCTGCCATCCTCATGATGCTTCAATGCTCGCCGAGGAGGATGCTTTGGGAAGCATATGCTAAGGGGTACTGTCATTATCGCAGCCGTATACAGATATTCGGTTATATTCAAGGGCGTGAGTGTATTTCTCGCTTCTGTGGTTCCATGTCTAACATTGACAGCTTGGTCTGCTGTTTGCGACTTTGCACTTGCGTTATACCCGGTTTCGTTCCTTGCACGGGTCCACGCTTTCTCGATAGCTACTCGGATTGGTCTCTGCGTACTAATGGGATTTGGCGTCGTGTACTGCAGCCCCTTATCATCAAATGAGTCAAGACCTTCGATACTGACGCAGAATAGAGCAGGGGCATGTACAATAGTAAAAACCGTTCAATTGACTGTTCTGACGAAAATCCAAGATCCGAGCCGTGAGTAAATACTGTTTGTCCACGGCGACATGAGAGCTAACAGACATAATAGAACAGATCGGAACAGTCATTGTTTGGAATCAGTGAGTAGCACTCATCTTCTCTATCTCGCTATAGATATCGCTCTAACGACAGATTGCAGAACCGAAATGTGGGTCGTATTCATTGTCAGCTGTATACCACCTACAAAAGTGTTCTTCAAGCATGTATATCGCCGAAGTTCTATCCGGCTAGGCTCATTTGTGGACCAAATGCGGCCCCGGGAACATGAGACGAAGCAGAACGAGTCGATGCAATCTAGCTGTTAAGGCCGGTCAATACGAGATCGGGGACTTGGTAGTCAGTCGATAGGGAGGACGCTTATTGTACTATATGTATTATTATATGAGTTTAAGATGATACCATGGCGTTATGGATACATTAAGAAACCATTTCAACCGAACTATAGTAGCCTACAGTATAGTTCGGAGTAAAAGTATGTATAAGATTCAAGCCTACCTATCAAGAGCATCCTGCTATTTGCCTATTGTGTCAGAGACATGAATCATATGACAAGTTATCAGCACCACACATCATTCGCAAGCCCATACATATATTTATACTAAATCCACCCTCCTTAGAATAATAAGTCACGCCATCCACTCAATACATACTACAGAAGCGAGCGTCAAATATTTCCCAATCAGTAACTACTACTCCCTCCATCAACACCCGTGACTCAATCCCTACCTATCCAGGTAACAATCACAACATTGAGAATCCGCCCCCAAAATCAAACATCCAGCATACCCAATCAGTCCTAAATCCCCCCCAGACCAGACCAAACAACAACTAACTAACTAGTGAAGATCGGAGCCACTCGTGTCTTACTCAGCTCACCTCAGCCATCACACCAAACTAACCAGTTACCTACCTACCTAGCGAACCAGCTAGCTAGTTAGTAGTTAGCTACGTAGTCAACCCATCTCCCTCTCCCCGTTTCACACTAATTATTGCATTATCCACAAGAACACGATCATAATCCACATTCCACAGATAGAAAGACAAAAATCTATTCGACGGCTCGGCAATCACGCCTAGTAACTTGTACTTTCCATTTTCTCTCATGATTGACATGGCTAGTTAGTAGTCTAGTCTACTATCTACCCGCCTGGCAGCCTGAATGAATAAAACCTAGTACCGATCATGGTTTCTATTTTCGGGGTTATTTCGGCGAAACAAAAACAAAAACAAAACATCTAGATTGGGTATCTACGTACGTAGTCCACGGTATTTTGATATGTTATAAGTTATAAAGTTACTTATTATAGTCGATCCAGGGGTAAAAAAGAAGCGGTACGTACGGAATTTGGCTGGGGCTTGGATCTGCAAAAGAATCTTGGCGCGGCGAGGGCCGATAGGGTCGTTGATCGTTGATCGTTTATTATTATTTTATTTCATTTTACTTGGCTGTGATTTTCAATTAGTATTTGGATTGTTTGTTATTGGTACTACTATTTACTAGTAAAGTAGGGATTTGATATGTTTGATTGAGTACTAGTCGGTGAAACTAAGGAGTTATTAGTTAGTTGGTTGACCCCTGGTTAGTTATGGGTAGTATGGAGTGCGATCATAGTGGTGGTCACTATAGTAAGTAGTAACTGATAGATCAAGTTCAGTTTAGAATTGTGATGTGGCTAATAAGTAGTAAACCTACCAGTATTTAGTAGTTAGTAGTTGAATTGAAGTGACAGAATGACTTGCGTTGCGTTTTGTGGCACAGTAGGAATGTAACTAGCAGTTCTCCGTAGTAGCACAAGATATATATCCCGCATACGCTTTATGAGTGCGACATAACTAACTTATTCCATGGTACATAATTATTACTCAGGTACACTGACACCGGAGAATTAAATTTCTATCTTTTTATTCACTAAAACCTATCTACGAGATACACACAGAAAAACATCATATTAATCAATCAAACTTTGTACTAAAGTATCAGATCAGCCAAGAGAGTCGGTCCAATGTCTCACTCCAAACCGTTCGCAGTGGAACTTTGGAAATGCAGTCCCGGCCGGAGAAACACACAAGTCGGAAAAAAAGAGCGAAAGATCGAATGAATGAATTGGCTGTGCGGCATATCTAGTCTAGTCTAGTCTACTACTTACCCCACCACGCAATCGTCCAGAACCCAACCACACATCCCCACAATAATAGAGAGGGGACCAAAGGGCAGGAGAAGAGAGATGAGAACATTATGATGATGACGAAATCGTGCGTATGTTAGATTGGATCACTAACTAGTTAGTTAGTTTTAGTTTAGTTGGTTATCTATGTACGTAGTAGTCTCTACCAAGTAACTAGGCGTTAAAAGTAATCCAGCCGAGGTGGAGGGAGAGAGAGACAGATGGAGAGAGAGGGGTTATTGTGCACTTTGTCCGGTAAAACTAATCGATTGGAAACGCGACGCTTGGACATTTCATTTTTTGCATTTGACATTTCATGGTCCGGTGAGTTATTTTATTACACACATCAATGACTTCTTTGGTTGGAGCCTGGCGTCTGTCTCGCATAATTCCTGTGCATGCTGTGTGGTGGTGGTGGGCTTTGACCATGTTCCAGACACGTCAAAAGTCTAGACTTACGTATCTTTGCTGGCTGGCTAGCGAGCTACTATCTACTAGTATGGGTTATATACATCACATCAACCGAGCGCTTGGTCGCTCCAGTTGGGTGGTCCGTGATGCAGGGTAATTTGGATAGGTTGGTCGGTCATGCATGTTGGTACCTACAGGCTGGTTCATACGTGCGTTGCTGATCTTGGAGGGCACGGTTTGCCGCCGTTGTCTGCTTGGCATTAGTGCTTTGCTCTGGTTGGGTTGGCTGGGACTGCCTTTCTGGTCGTGGTGAAAAGAGCGTTTTATTTTTTGATCGGGTCTAATCTCTGCCTGCAGGTGGTAGGACCCAAAAGAGACAAGGCTGGCCGCGATAAGGCGCACGATTTGGTGGTGGCGGGTCAGGACTGTCTGCTGATAGGGAACCTGAGCAATTTGGAATGGGATTGGCGATGTCATGATCGTACGGCGCTTCTTGCTGGAGGCTCATTAGCACCCCGAAAATGGATGGCGTAACTCTCTCAGCCGCTCATTCCTGGCGCTTAAAGCTCGCGTACGTCCAAGACATGTGGGTTGGCGTGGAGAGCAGCTTTAGTCCAGGAGACAAAGAGGGGTCGAATGGGTAGGTCAGTTGGCGCTGAACGGCGACCGGCAAAAGGTGGTCATTCGATTGGAGGGGGTTGGTATGAGTTGAGAGGAAAAGGCTTCTTACTCTAATAAAAAAAAGGAAACTAGTGAAGCCCGGTCAGGGAGCCAGCAGATCATGCGATCGTGGAAGTGTGTTTCTCACCCCCCTCCCATCCCTTCCTTCCTTCGCTTCCCTTCTTATCCCGGTAGACTATGACCACCCCTGCAAGCCTTAGTAGTTAGTTAATAGTGAGAAATCCCGATCAGATTGGTAGTAAATTGGGAGGCAAGGTAGCAGTGCTAACTTGGTTTAAGGTGTTACCTCAACCATGTGGCCGGCTACCCACCTCGAACGGCTCCCATCGCGGCCACATGCGGAATCCTAGCAGGATCAATAAAAGTGCCACAGCACGTGGAGTTTATGACCCGATCGCCGGATCCTGGCTAGCCTGGCAGTCAAATAGAGCGTTTAAAAGTAGTAATTGTAATTGGGAGCCTCCCTGATGCTGGTGATGGGATGCAGGCGTATCGCCGGGTGCTCCCCAACGGGGAGCGCTGCGTGGCCCCCGGCCAGGAGGGAGCAAATCCCCCAACGACAGCTGGCTGCGGCGGACGTCGAAGCGCTGGACTGTGCACAGTTCTCTCTCCCTGTCTCCGCACGACATCCACGAGGGGATCAGGCACCGTGAAGAGCGGAAAAGATCCCAGGCGCTTCGGATGGCGGTCGCCGAGAACGGGCCCCATAATTCAATGACGCTGTTGCCGGCCTGCCAACCAACCAGTCCAAGTGTCAACCGCCAGTGCCCATGGCTTTCCTCCGGTGGAGCAAGGCAGCGAAGCTAAACGGACGGAGGAAATTGGTCAATAGGATTCATGTCCTTGATCGTAAACGGAGATTCCTCGTGACAACTAGGGGATTTTATTGGATTTTTATTTTTCCTATTAAAATTATTTTTTTTGTCTTGATTTTTCTGTCTCCCCCCTTCTGTTTCTCCATCAGCGCGATATTTGGAGGGGCGAATTAATTTATTTGACCTTGGGTTTAGACTCATTTCAGCAAATATTGCTCATTTGCTCAGCCATTCTCCCCATAAGGAGGACGGGAATTTGGCAAGGTGGATCAATGGCAGTGCCTTCGAGGAGGATTTGTTCGGTTACTCGAGCGTCTGGCGAGCGGGCGGTTAATCCAATTTACATCCACTGCCTCCCGTGAGAGAGCGAGGTTCTTGATCCTGGCCGATCATTTCCGTGGCGGTCAAGGCAATCACAGGATCGGACAATCGGGCGCTCGCCATGCTCCGGACTCTGAGGGGCGCAAATAAACGTGTCACGTAACTGGTAATTGGTAGCCTGCTTAGGGCCGGTCCACGGGTCTGAGTCTGACCGTGTCGGCCAAAGCGCCTCCCTTAGCAGTTAGCAGCAACCTTGACCTCATTGTGACCGACCTAGCACCTTCGGACCACCGTTTCACCGTTGGCTGCTTTCAGGACAGGTAATATTTGCGATCCTCCGGATCTTACAGCCCCGGTCACATTGGAAGAATAAATGGTGAGCTTTCTGGTCCTTCTGTGTCCCTGCATCTTCTCGCACCCAATCTGCTGGTTCCTCTCGCTCCTCGATCATTCCAACTCACACTAGGGAAGAATGATGGGGAAAAAGAAACAGGGCCGTAGTAAAAAAGGCTGACACCCGGGGTCTAGAATGCCTCAGGGATGTGATAATAACCAGAGAGTATTTATGGGGATTACAGCGATCCTCTGGAGTTGACAGGAGGATCCGTGAGCTTGCAGCGATGCGCCAAGCTGTCGTCACAGAAATGAAGTAACCTTTCGAAACGAAACCTGTCGATCTCCCCAGCGCATTGCGTTTGAGCATTGTCAGAATATAGTACGAAGGATATATCCAATCATCCCTTCCACGGCGTATGGGAAAACGGTAAGTGGGCATATGCTCTGCTGGGGGGGCGGCGCATCACTGTGTCTAAGGGGGGGCCATCTGGCGGAATAATCCAGAAAGACCCTTTTTCTTTTCTTCCGCCTGATTCTAGTTAGGTCTGCAAAGCCGGGCCATGAAAGGGGAGACGAAGCCAGAAACACGCGATGGCCCATTGTAAGCCCGAAGCGGTAAGAATCGGGATCCATAGCGTGGCTGGCGGCCGCTAAGGCAGTGGGGGCCAAAAAAGAACAGGACAAAAGTTCTGAGCCTGATGCATTCGCCAGAGGCTAGGCACGCTAGACGAAACAATGATCGGGTCTTATTGCTCAGCGTGGTGCGCGCGGGAAAGCCTCCCAGTGATCGTGGGAGGGAAGGGAATCCTCGAGGGGATGGTATGGGTCCCGGCTCCCCCTGCTCCCCTACATTGCAATCCCTGGTAGGAGGATGAGGGAAGGAAGCATGCATCGCCCCGGGGAAGGAATTAATTGAACCGCCCATTGCTTATCGCCATGTGGTTCCGGATCTAAAAGGCCATGCCTCGCTATCATGACGATCTCGCACGACTCCACGTATGTCAGACGGCGTCGTTCGCAACTAGCTACCCAGCCAGGACTGCCTTTAGCCCCGGCGGACACTTTTCAGACCCGCCTGGATATACGAATCAGGGAATTGAAGGTCCTTCGCATCCTGAAATTGGCCCCCAAACCATGCGGATTCGACAAATCCATCGACGCCGCCTCTGAAGGAAGATGAGCCGAAACAAACCAGAGCATCATCGGGCGGGGGGCTTGTTAATCATTCACTCGGCTCCTGTTACTGGCGGTGACGCTCAACGCCCTCAAGCCTTTTGGGGCTGGAGTTGTTTTTCCCCCCTAAAACTTTCCACAACCGATGGTGACTGGGGAAGAGAGAGAGGGGAGGCGAGAGGGGGTTAGGGTCGAGTAAACTAGTTTCAGCCGGTCCTTCCACTATGATAGGAGCTTGTTTCTGCTTTCCCAGGCGGCTCTCAGCCCAAAACCCGCCATCTCCGAGTCTATTCCTCTCGTGGCTCGCGAAAAGAAGTGTTGGTATCGATCGACGGACCGGTTAGGGCGATACGATTGCTGATGTCAATTGCTAAGGTCTCCTTTAACCCCGTCATTATTCCCAGAGTGGAGTAGCGAGGGGACAGGGGGGGCGCTTGCATCCCAAACTAATTCGAGGCTACTGAAGCTGACCAGGCCGGGTGCGATTGAGCTGTTGGGACCTTCACGTGGCGATGGTGCAGGACTATCCCCTATTGAGTACCCTGACTCAGAGCCGGAGGGAAGCATAATCCGACTGGCGTGGTCCATCTTGTCCGGAATAAATAAACTCAGAAAATGAACCGGGTTCGATCTTGCTAGCTAGTAGTCGGTAGTCGTAGTGGTGATGATGGTGGGTGATGAAGGCCGACGGCGTTGGGTCACCGTTTAAACGACTAATATTAGCTCAACAACAGGAACGTTCTTCAATGACGGACCCGCTTAACACGATGATGGAGATGGATGGTTCTCCATGCTCTACAAACATCAGACCACAAATGGGGGAAACTTGTGGCTACCAACAATGCGACCGATGGACATGATCAGATGAAGGGGAAGTTTCGTAGATGGGATCGTCCCCACGTCCAAGAACTATCCAAGGAGGTAACGCGCAGGTCAGTGGTGATTGTTGGGTTGGAGATCACAGGGAAAGGTAAAACAATCAAATAAAATAAAAATAAAAAGAGGGCCCTCTAGTTAGATGGAAGTGTCCGATGTGTGGCAGTGAAAAGAGTACACACAGACACAGACACAGACAGACACACACACACACACACATACGCCTTTCATCGAGTGCGCGGGAGAGGATTTGAAATAATAATAATAAAAATAATACTAACCACAATAATATCCCGACCTGTCAGGAAAACCCCATAATCAAAACGGGGGGAACCATTTTTCAATTTTCAGCTACAAATTAAAAATAGCGAGAAAAATCCACGGTAATTCGTATACGAAAAAATCCAGGATAAGCGTAATTACTATTCCGATCTAGTGGCATAAGCCCAGGTAAAATACATACACACAGCACCCACCCTCGTTCTCTCTCACGCATTGCCCACCCGCCATAAGCTGCCAGTCTCCAAAAGACGAACCACCAGGTAATCTTCGGCCCCCGTTCGTTGCGCTTATTCGGTGTCTCGCTCGTCTGGCTATCACTAGGCCACCAGGCGTTAAATACTCTCTTCTAGCCGGGCTTCTGGAACACAAAAAACGGGTTATCGAATTGATTTACTACTACCTACTACCTACTATCCATCTACCCGTCCGCCGTCCTGGCCAACCTACTACTACCACACTACTTACTTTCGCTGTCTCCCGTGGTGGATATAGTTGCTGTCAATCCGGAAGGATTCTCTGCCTAAGCCTACTACCTAACTAACTGTATGTTCCGTACCCTGATTTGTTTTCCTTCGATCTACTTAGCACCTGTTGGTTTTTGTACTTCTTTCCTCATTTCCCTTTTCTTCCTTCATCTCTCCAACGTCTAAATAAAACCCATCCCCCATCATTGATCTTCTCTGCATTTCGTTTTTTATTTCTTCTTGATATCACCTCCCTAAAATATCCATCTTCTTCATCCTTGTTATTCTCTCAGTTGTTGATCGCCTCTCTTGTTCTTGTGGTTTTGGCGTACCTCAATCGAGCACCCATGTTTTCCAGTGAATTCTATCACTCACCAGGCGACTCATTCGTTCGTCACAGACAGCTGGGCGATTCTATTCCGCGAAGTTGGAGAGTACCATCACCAGCCTCGGCACCTTTCGTCGTTGATCTTACTCACTCTGATGGTGGTTCGGTTCCGCTAAAGTCTGAGACAACCCCATCGGATACCGTACCTGCGTCTACTCTTCCAGGCTGGCTTCCTGGTTTACCGAGTCCTGCTTCGGTCTACAGCTCTCCTCGGAGCGAAATATCCAGCAATAGTGCAGGAGAAGGACGGAGTCATCTATCGCCTCTTCCTCCGAATCAGTACCTAGGCAGGACGCCTTTTCCATCCGAGTTCATCTCTCGGGATCTTGAACCAGCAGACTCACCTTCAAGACTGGCCCAAAGGAGTCCCTCGCAAGCCTTTTCACAGATATCACAGTATGTATTGAAAAAAAAAGAAACCCCTCTCTTCTGAGTGTTACTTACTGAAGACGTTTCCCTCCAGGGCGTCAGATTCTTCATTATTATCTCAGTCGATGCATCCCGGATCAGTAGCATTTCTGACGACCAACATGGCACACAACTCTCAGAGTATGTTCGCAAGCATGGCTTCCAAGCTCTTTGAATTATTGGCGCTGACGAGGAGCAGATTACGGCTGGCAAAACAGGCCACCCCAGCCTCTTCATCCAACTTCAATGCCTATGGATCAACAATCATATCCCCAGGCACACACACTTCCACCACAATCTGGTTACCCAGCAGCATATCCACCTCAGCATGCCACTTCACAGAGTTACTATCAGCCAGGACTCCCATCTACACATTACCTCACCTCACAGCCGGGTGTGCCCCAGAGCCGACACCAGCCACGAAGGTACCAATATCCGTACTACCTGAGTTAACTGGGATGAAAATTGATCGATTTCATAGTTCTTCCATTCCATATCCTTATCCCAGCGCTTCCGTATCTGGCAGCCCACCTACCATGCCAGATCCCTCTTTTACATCAACGTGAGGACACCGAGTGCACCAGGAGACGAATCTTATGGCTAACTTGTTCCTAGACCTCCTTCATACCTAGTCAATCAGCCAGATTACTACCTAACGCCGAACTCTTCACTCTCGTGAGTGGCCACATTAGCCATCAAGTCTTCGTTCCACCTACTAACCAAATTGCATTACCAGGCAAACCC